CCCCCCCCCCCCCCCCCCCGCCCCAATGAAAAAAAAAAGGAAAGTCTTAAGCCCAGTCTTAAAACTGGACAATGTGTCAGCCTCATGGACAGAAACTGGAAGTTGCTCCACAAGAGAGGAGCCTGACAACTGAAAGATCTTCCTCCCATTCTGCTCTTGGAAACTCTAGGAACCACAAGTAAACCTGCACTCTGAGAGAAAAGTGCTCTGTTAGGAAAATATGAGACAATAAGATCTGTAATATGAGATGGAGCTAGGTTGTTGAGGGCTTTGTAGGTTAGAAGTAAGATTTTGAATTCTATTCTGAATTGAGTTAATGGAGAGAAGCTAAAACTGAAGAAATATGGTCTCTCCTACTAACTCCCATTAAGACTCTGTACCAATGCTGGACAACCTTCAGCACTTGTTTGCAGTGTTTCAGTCTTTTAAGATGGGTGCTCCCCTGCTCTAAGTAATGGTGCAGTCATTGTAAAGACTGCATTAAATATTCAACAGCTTGGATGTGCATAATGGGGAGATACGGGAGTCTTATCCTCTCTGTGCTGGGTTTATGCAAGAAGGATGTAAGCATACAGTATGTTCTCTCATTTCTGCAGATGTTGTGTGTGTGTGTGTGTGTGGGGGGGGGGGGGCTCTAAGCATTTGTGTGGGCGGGTCTCGCACCCCGAGTTTGCAGAGTCGAAGGACCAGCGCAGGAGCCTCTAATTGAAAGGGATTTGAGGGATATGGCAGGAGTCAGCATGTTATAACACGCTGAGACCGGACTCTGGTGGGCTGTTAAAACCAGCAGGAGGCTGAGAACCGCCAATGTGTGTTTGTGCTTGTGTGTTGCTATTTGTGCCATTGCACAGTATATATGGTCTGAGGAGACTGTGTGTCCATATGCATGTGCAGCATGGTGGCAAAGAGCTGGTGCGCAGTTGGGAAAATGAGCATTGCTATTTCTCTCTTCTGACACTGACAAGGGCAAAACCCCTTGGCATTAAAGGGGAAACATTTCCAACAGGCTTCATGCTATGGATTTCAGAGCAAACAACAGTTTTATGGAATATTGATGGCATACCAGGCTGGTGGTGAGACATACTGCTCATATTTATATGTCTACAAGCCGACAGTGATTACACCCAGAGATTTTAAGCACCATTCAAATCAACACTTATTTCTCAGCAAACACTTGTGACTATAGCCGGGAAGTAAGAACAAATCAACAACTATTGATCATAACAACCACAGGATATTGCTGTCTGATGGAGAAATTATGAAATTCGTCTCCAAGGCTGCAATTAAGTTTAATGTTATTAAAAGATGGGTTCACAACGAAGTGTGTCTAGGTACAACTCTTGCATAAACAAGAATATTACATTTAAAAACTTTTGTTTAGCTTAGGTTTTATTATAACGACTAATTATTCTGAATGGCAAAATAAATTTCCAATAGTCGTCTGACATTTATCTAAAGCTTTAGGGGATGGTTCAAATTTTTTGAGTTGCGTGAACAATTAATATCTTACCTGTTGTAGATAGCTTTTTGAATGACCTAAGTTTGGAGGATTAGAGTTGAATTTGGTCATATTACTGAGCTAACAGCAGGTCTAAACTTGACTAGGAACAAAGTGGGTTGCTGCCATCTCCAAACAAATCAAATCTCAATGATTTTATATTCATTCAAATATTATTTTATATATTTTCTATTGCTGCCACTTTTATATTTCATTATTATTCCAGGGGAATTGTTAGGGTTTATCTAGTGCCATAGGTTGCACAGGAAGTGATTTAGGGAAGGGAAGTCTGAGGTTGCCATCATTGTATGTTCCCATACAATGGCAAAATTAGTTCTCTGCATTTAATCCATCACGCCTGGGATACACCCAGGTGGAGCAGTGGGCAACTATGTAAGCGCCCAGGGAGCAATTAGGAATTAGGTGTCTTGCTCAGAGACACCACGACATGTGGGAATGGCTGGGAGTCGAAACGCAACTTTCTGGTTCCAAGTCGGCTGCCCTACCTCTACCCCATCTCAGCCCCTCTAGCTCGGCCCCCTTTAGCTAGCTACTTCTGCTATTTGCTTTTGCAAATAACCATGGACTTCCATGTTAATCATCGTCATTGTTAATTACGTAATGCAAAATTGATGACATTGTAAAAGTTTAGAAAACAGGGTTTGCATAAACTGCTACAATTTTATGAGCTCCATTATTTTAAGATGGCAGCTATCTACTGCCCCCCCCCCCCCCCCACACACACACACACACACACACACCCCAGTAGTGACTATTAGCTCATGGATCCAGTTAAAATAAAACTACTTCTCCAAACTGAGGAGATTCAAAGAGCTTCCTACAACAGGTAAGATATTAACTGTTCATAACCTTCTCATGGCACCCTACTTCACAAGATCTGAACTATGGATTTAAGCTCAACATGAATTTATCTTTAAAAAAAAAAAACAGGTATGAAATGGGCAACATACGTCAATTCGCTATCTCTCTATAAATCATCTAGTAAAGAAAACACTGAAGGGAATTTCAAAGAAAAACCTTTTCAGTGTTCCAAAAATACACCCACTCAATTTACATTAGTCAGACTGCTTAGGCTCCAAGTTACCTTCACTTAAGAGCTTCTTGTTTTTTCTTTTATGAAAGAAGCACTCTTTGCATTGATCTCAATGTCTTTACCATGATATCATACATGAAAGATGCAAAATCACTTTTTTATATTCATTAGGCTATAATGTCTTCACACTTCCTGTGTTTTAGTAAGAATGATTAAAAAGAACATGTTTACAGTGACCAAAAGCTCCAAAAGACTAGACAAAAATTTTAAAAAGCTTGCCTTTTTTCTCAATTCATAATAAAATAGTTGTTTTTTTTAATAAGCTGTGAATGTGCATTTAAAGCTTTACCAGCTAAAGCAGAGGCTCAGAGAACCAGCAGCAACAAAGGATGAAAGTCGGCCAAACAAAGAGTAGTTAAACTGTCAGCAGATGCACCTCTGCTCTGATTTAAGACTTCATTCGCCATCAGGAACTTTAAGTGAGCATTAACCCTTATGGCCCAACTGTCCACCCTGTCAGGTGCAACAGATCACTTCTTCAAGCTCACATCGAGCGCTTAAACCTTAATTCTTGTTCAGATCAGTTGTTGGATTGTGTCGCTGGAAACTTTTACCCTTTTGACAGTCGCAGGCATCTTCACCTTCACAAAAACTATTTATGCAAAAAGTAAACACATCCAATTTTGTTTACTTTTTGCAAATTTGTGAAATACTTTAGCTTGGCTTTCAAAACTACAACCACATAATTGTATTTGAAAAATTAAGCTCATGTCCTTACATCTTCCCATCCACGTCCAGGAGTCCAGGAGATGACATCCAAGAAGGGGTTCGCCAGGTAACCATCACCGTTGAACGAATAGTCTCGACCGCCAAGCGTGATGTTGCTAAAATACCTGCAAGGTTGTCGTCAGAGGTAAAATAGACAGTGAGACAGCGTTTAAAATTTACTGTTTTACACCACAGCATTATTATATCAAAGGGTTTCCTAAATGATAAAAGAGGGTTGAAACAAAAATCTTAATGTTGCATTTGATTAAATAACATGCTCGTCAGGTTCCTTTCGGCTTGAATCTAATTCACAGGAGCTCTGTGGTGACAGTCAGAGATTGTCTGTTAAAACAAATGATCACACACACGGGACTGTCAAGATCGTTGAAATCAAACGACTGCTAATCTCTGCATAGGCTTCAATCTCTATAGTGGGTCTGAGAATCACAGACGTGTCTTCAGATGTTCTCTTTATGTCACCTTCTTGGCTTCAAAACAAAACCAAGAGAAAAATCTGAAAGCTTTTTTAGTTGCATGACAGAAAGCTTCAGGTGGAGCAGCAGCTTGTAGTTGCAGACGGTGAACAGTAGGTAGCAGTGCTAAAGAACGAGAAACAAAAGCATTGTTCTTCTCTGTTCCTGGACATAGATTATAAACACCGCCAGGAGAATTCATTAATCATTTCTCGATAATTACCTCTCTGTTGGTGCTCAGGATCATTTACAAATTTTACTGCAAATAAACTAATTCATTAAGTATTCAGACCACTTTCAGATACCAAAACTAGCAGTTTCACCATCGCCCTATAGGAGACACAAATATAGAGCTGGACTAAAAATGACTCATTTGAAAAATGAAGTGAGAAGATAACTAGAATCACTCATGCGACCTGTTCGAGTGTGCTGCTGTGTATTTGAACAGCCTATAAGGAATATATTAAAACCAGGTCATTAATATACATGAGACATGGTCTGCTTGCTACAGATGCTACGGTAATTTAGCCAACCCACAACTACACACAGAAACAACATCTATTTTGCATGGACCCAAATTCAGATATCTCCCGTGTGTGCTCTCTGACACTGAATCTGCTAATTCTTCCCATATATCTAACAGCGAGTTCTGGCCTCGAACCAAAGCTCCTTTCCTAGGACTTCACCTTATGCTGTTTCTATTTTTGTTTCTTCCCATTTAGCATATTTTGATGTGTACTTTTTTGATTGGTCACGTCTCGTATATCTTACCTCATCCTGCTTCGCAGTCTCTGGGTCTGATTGGCATCCGTCATGCAAGTGGTGACAAAGTTGGGCCCACCTGTGGTTCCATATTCTTTGCGCATTGCCACTGCCCCGTGTGTCAACACAGACACTCCCCGAGCAATCCTTCGGCGAGGCTCGTCCCTCCAGCCCTGAGGACGTACGGCAAACAAAGCCCGGGGCAGGCTCTCCATGCTCAGACCCGAGAGAGACGGGCCCACCGCAAACCACATGTGTGAGGCTCCGGCCTGACCGGCAGCCCAGGCGGCACGGAAGACCAGCTCGGCCTCCTCCTGAGAGCAGTACAGCAAACGCACCTGGGAGGACAGAAGGTAGGCAGGGAGGGGACAGGAACAGAGGAAGACACACACACAATCCAGTGAGATAAGGAGGGGAAAGGGGAGACGTGGAGTAAGAGAGAGGTTGGGAGAAGTAAGGAGGGGGAAAATACTGAGCTAGAGAGGAGGTGCACCTAAGTGGGAGAGGATGGAGATGGATAGAAAAAGCCATATCAACAAATAACAAGAACGCTGGAAAAGGTATAAGGAAGCGATAGCTGTGAGGCGATGCGATAAGGTTTATGGAAGTCGAGTGTGTGATTTTAAAAGAAAAGCGCACACACGCCGGAAAGAGGGATGACTGTGTGGCTGTGTGCTAAGCTGGAGGTACAGAACGCAATGGAGGTCAGTGCTTAATGAGCTTGATGAAACAAGTTACTATAATGAATTATGAAAACAGGGTGAAAACAAGAGAGGGGAAATGAAACTGCTCTAAGTGTTGGAGCAATAAAAAAAAAAACATTTAGCAAAAGGGGAAGAAGAGGGGAGGGGGAGGCAGTAAAAATGGAGAAAATCTAAAGGGAAAACGAGGGGAAAGAGGTTAAACTTCGAAAAATGTTTTTTTAAAAAGTGAAGTGGAGGAGAGAGGACAACAAGAAACGAGAGGAGTGAAATGGAGATGTAGGGAGGTCGTCGAAGATGGAAATAGTCACTCCTTAGAGATCGGAAAGGGGAGGCGGGGTAGTGAAGGAAAGCAAAAGGAATGCATATTTTTGTAAAATTGGCGCCCGAAAACATAAAAGACAGTTGTGGCAAAAAAAGGCGGAGTGAAAGAGAGAACAAAAAATTATATTAAAGAGACAATAAAGAAAGACGACAGTGACCTTGGACGAGCTCTCTGCAGTAAATACTAAAGTATGAAGGGATGAGACGAGCGGGAGGAGGAGGGGTGGAAATTGACCAAATGGAGGTTTTAAGGAGTTACAAGAAAAAAATAGAGAAAGACGGAAGGATGGTATTGACAAGACGGAGATGGAACTGAGGAGAAAGATGGAAAAAGACAGCAAGGGTAAATGCTGACAAATACTAGGGAAAAAAAGAAGGGATGCATTTAGTGGAAGAAGAATGGAAAAGCCAATGGAGAAGAGGTAAAAGAACTGAAGGACAAGCAGAGGAAGACAATTCTTTTAGGCAATAGAGAGGAGGTGGTCAGGGACACAGACAGAAAGCACATTTTGAGACTTGTGCCTTCATTGAATTTTGAACTGTAATGGCTTGGCAAAACAATTCTGCCTGTGTGCCAATAAACCTCCGGTGAATTAGACAGGGACTGGGAGCGACAGCGTGGGGGGAGAAAGGAGGGAGAAAGACGGTGACAGACAGTGAGAGGGACACTGAAAAGAAGACTGAAGGAGAGAATCTGAACGATAAACAAACATACACACACACAATCACAAGATGGAGATTGTAGAAAGACAAGAACATACGACGGGGAAAAAAAACGCCAGCAGAAGAAACACTAACAAGACAGAAGCTGGAAGAGAAATGGAACAAGACATAGACAGTGAATTGAGACCTGCATCAGATCATCCACAATGTAGAAGACATTACAATAAATGTAACATAGAGAACAGAAGCATGAGATAAATATAAATAGCATCTCTATGCAATCACCAGCATTTGTTAGCCCTGCAGTAAAGGAAGGCTAAAGGACAGGGGGTGTTGTGAAAAGCAAGAAGGTTAAATAGTTAGCTCTTTGAATGGGCAATTCACTGCAGGCAGTGTGTTAAATTTGCAATGACTCTTGCAGAGTGAAGCCCAAGGAATCCAATACACGTGCACACTCTTGCAGACAAAAACACAAGCAGCCATGCTGGGACATTAGCGTTGACATTGAGACCCAGACTAAACCGAGCCAGCAGAGAGCGGGGCCTGTGGCCGCGAGGACATGCAGAGCAAGTGGAGTGCACGAATGAAGGAATGAAACGTGGGCAAACAGAGGTGAAGGTGCAACGCAAAGCAACAGAGGTGACTGAGCTTGTCTCTAGGCAAAGAAATGCAGGGAGGGAGGCTGGGGGAGGGCCGGGGTGAGGGGGGCAGAGTGTAGTGGCAGAAGACATAAGAACACAGACATGATTGAAAAATTGAACAAGAGGATCATGGGGGGGTGGTCAAAGAGGAGGTTCAGGTAAAAACAATGATAAATGAAGAAGTGTGGAAGAAACTGGCAGGTTGGAAGTAAAGGCCAGAAACAGCAGAAGCAGGGAAGAAAGGGATGGATGAATGAAGGAAGGAAGGAGAAGATGAGCAAGCATACAGTTTAGAGGAATGGACGACATCAGAAGTAGAAACCAAAACCACAATCCCTTCTGCTCAGGATTACCGAACAAATTCACAGTAAAGACGAGAGTTGGTTCAGTGTACTATAATGTAAAAACTCAACGGAAGAAATTGTAAATTACTGTAAGGTAGGAACAATTATTGTTTTATGGTAACACATTAAGTTATGTTTTTTATCAAATCGTAAACTATGTAACACTTTTTCAGAAAAATAAATTATATATAAACAGTTTGACAGGATGTATTCTTGTTCTTCAACAATCCTGCCTCTGAAATAGTATTTTGCAAACTCGTTCTGTGCAAATGAACTCTACAAAAATAGTTCCAGGAGAGGAAAAAAAAATCTGCATAAAAGAACAACGCAGCATCTAGGATTATTTCATTTTCTCAATGTCTGAAGATGAAATGTCATCTCTCACTAGTTATTTGTTTAAGTAACTCGTCCTTCACGTGAGAACAATTTTTGTAAATATGCAGAAGTTTTTGAATTTTCCGTGTTTTGTTCACATGGAAACAGTTTTAGGAGCCCCCAAAAAGTATTTTTTGAAAACAGGCTCCAGTTTTTAAAAAATCTTCAAACACCACCCTTGTGCTTTTGTGAGTACAGCCAAAACGTAAACATTTTGGAAAAAAAAGAGGTCCCACCTATAATTTAACTTCCGAACTGAGGGTATCCTCTTTGTTTTGTTGCGTTTACATTTTGCACACACCGTGCAAGTTCATGAGCATACTCCACACCTTGTTTCCTGTTTTTGATATATGTTCGTGGCAACATAACAGCATCACTAGTCTTTAATTTGAGCCAGATCCTGCCGGAGCAGGATCCGGGAACTCTCTTATTTTGACAGGGTGCATGCCGGTAATTGTTTGCATGGATCCGGTAACTCGCAGGCTTACTAATAATAAAGATATGAACAAATTTGATTGCCGTGAACGAATAAAACCTACGGTTGAATGAATATTAGATATGTATTCTTAAAATAATTACATAAACACTAATTTTAAACATAACAGGCACTTACGAGCTTCTTAATATCACATAAGAGTTGCCCCTTCAAGAAATCATCTCCGCATCTACCCTTAAAATAATCTCCACCCCTAATAGAACAGTCATGGGCAATTTACTTAAAAACACAAAAATATAATTAAACAGCACAGCTAAACTGCAAAATCAGTTTTACAGTTTAAGTAAGTCATTAATAAAATTTTGATTATTTATTTTAAAAAAATACAAGCGAATAGTTTGATGATTAATCACGTTACATATGTCATGTATCAAAACAATGGCACCAATTTGTCAAAATAACAGCGATCAAAATGCCAAAAAGACAGTCCAATTCACTTAATTTTTTTTAAGTCTTCTCATTGTACAACTAAACAATTGAGAAGTGAAGCACATGAAGGCATAGTACTGGAGCAGGTGTGAGGATGCTTGAGAGAAGTGCTCTACTCACACAAGGAGAGCTGTTGGTCAGGCTACTTCTTATTGCTCTCTAAAATAGTTATTGAATCAAGTGTTTACAAATTTAGGTAAACACAAATGTTTGGTTGGGTTTACAAATTAAATACTGAGCATCACATATTGGTTAAAATGGTGTTTTGGGTCATAGTTGGTGGTTCAGTGTGTTTGACATTTCTAGAAATGGTGCCATGATTACAAGGATAATTCTAGAAATGACAGATAAAACTACAGTTTTGTAAAAACTGCATTTACATGTGGACGGCCCCTTATTTTAGAAACAGGCATTTGAGCAGATCTTACAATGGCGTTGTGGCTAGTAATCACATTGCTAGAAGGTTTCTGGTTATAAACTTTGCTGGGACCTTTCTGCGAGAAGATTACATGTTCTCTCCGTACATTCTCAAATTTTCTCTGGGTACCACGGTTTTCTGCCACAGTCTGTGTTAGATTGGTAGATGGCCATTACTTCACTTGTGCTGAATTTGGAGATAAAATGGTAAATAATGTCAAATGAAAAAAATAAGAGAAATAGTTTTATTTTGGAGAATTGCTAGCCACGTTCAGGATTTTCTTTTATTTTTGATGCACTTTTTTTTTTTATCCCCAACATTAACAGCACCTCTTGACCCAGTGCAGGAAAATCAGAGTTTTTGTCCTTGTTTGGATCATTTTTTTCCAGGACGAGAGAAAAAGTTTTAGTTTAAACATTTTCTAGTGTAATCAAAGCCCTTGCAATCTTTAAAAATGTGGATTAAAAGGCTTAAAAGCAACAGTGAACACCCAGTTAATAGACTGTGTCAGGCAGTATGGGTAACAGAAAGTTTTTTTAATGGCAAAGCTTCTTAATGGGGAAATGAGGGAAAACTGTCAGTTTCTTCACACTGAATGCTACAGATCCAGCTAGAGAAAAGAAACTGACTCGTGGTTTTGGTTGTACCATAGAACTCTTGGTGCCACATGAAAAGAGAAGAACAGAGGGATAGAGGAGAGAGGGGAGAGAGAGAGATGGAGGTGCAGAGGGAGAGACGAAGAAGGAAGGAAAAAGCTGGGAAGCCACCTGTCAGAAAGGGGGCCCCCCCAATGGTAGTTGCAGCACTTCCTCCCCTTTCCTCCCTCTATCCCTCCTCCCTCCCCCCTGTCTCACCTGCGCCTCGTTCTCCTTCAGCAGCCTCCGTGTGCGAGCCCCCCCAGGGTCGTCAGTCACATTCAGGATCACCACACTCTTCTTCTCCCAGCCAATGAATGAGCCGTCTGTCAGGCCCTCCACTACAGACAGGAAGTCCTGGTAGCCGTGGTGGCGCGTGGACACCACAGAAAAGGCGGTCCAGTCGTACTCCTCGAGCACCTCAAAGATGACCTCTAGTTGGAGTGTAGTAGAAGAACTGAACTGGAGAAAGATGGACCCTGTCTCCTGATTTGAGGAGGAAAGCAGCAGATGTAGTTAAAATCCCATCATAAAACTGATGCTCTGTCAAAATTAGAGCTAATAAAACCATGAAAAATTTCAAACAATTTTACGACAAAGGACTACAGAGCTCTAAACTGCTCCATCTTTGTGCACAACAAATCATATGCATGGCAAGGCTTGAAGTCTTTGTGGAGCAGCAGCATTCATGCAGCCGAAGGGCTAAAACAGCCTGGCCTGTCGAGTGAATTCTCCTATGACGTCCAGAAGGGAGCGTTTCTAAAAAGTCTGCTCAGGGGTGGGAGGGGATGAGGACTAGGCTGAGCTACATCTTCAAAGGAAGTTTATCAATGTGTTACAATTTAAATCCTCAAGAGAAAATGGAAAGGGTGAATATACAGCGCTCTGCTCCCTTTTTTTTCCAATGGATTGGAAAATATGTTCCATTTTCATTGTTTCATTTTCTGCAACTGCAGCCACGAAAATGTACAGAGCACACACAGCATCCTTACTTAGTTGTGCACACACCCGTGTCTGCTCACTGCCTTCCTACCAGGAAGATCAGAGGCAGAGCGACAACCACAGTTGGTTCCTTTTACAGATCAAACAGTGCAGAGTTTCTGCAGATCAGTGACACTGACCTTCAGCATCCTCTCCATCCTACTGGCACCTCCACATACCTTCTCTTCACACATAATCTGTGCACGTTTGTGACTTTGGAAGTTTAAAAACATGAGCAGTTTTTCATTTCAGCTTAACTGCTTCACATGCTGCTCCTCACATTTATCCACAATCCCATTTTTGAAAGACTTTCCTCTTATTTGTTAATTTCATTCTCATGCACACAAGCTGCAGACACTTCCATTGCATCCTACCTGTGGCATCCTCCCCAGCCCTGCTCCCCCTCCTACAGCCACTATGGGCAGTCCTGTTTGGGCAGAAACAAACTCTAGCATGGGGGCCAAAGGACCCCAGGCTGTGCGAGGGGGCCTCTCCTCTTCGTAAACCAGTCCCTGCAGGGGCCGCGCCGCTAATAGCTCACACAGCTGGGACAGCACTGTCTTAGGGCTGCTGTCGTTCACCTGGGAGATGAAGAGAGGTATGAAGAATGAGAGTAAAACAGGAAGTGAGTAGAGTTGACTTATATGGAAGGTTTATGAAGTGTGTGTGAGACACGTCTGACTTGCAGTGCAAGCTATGGTCAGCTCACACAGCAGCGATGTGCTGCCTCTTCAGCTCGATAAGGATGAATAATGGATAGTTATTCTCTGCCTTCAAGTACGGCTGAGTTAGCACCAGGCAGAGGACACAGTGTCTCACCTGTAGCCAGATGACGTTAGCAGAGCCCCACTGGGTGACCACGCTCTCCCCCAGGGAGCCGTAGACCCGTCCAAATCCAGGGTAGAGCACCCTTCCTCCAGGCCCCGCTACCGCCGCCTCTGCCTGCACTGTAGCACCGGCGTGGATCACAGCGATGTTGAAGTTTATCATGGTCCCCGCATCACGCTCCCGCGGGCTTGGCCGGAGCAGGAGGTGGGGGGACACGTCCACCAAACCTGCCCACTCTGCCAGGACCAATAGGAGAGAGAGAGTAGGTATGGCGACCATGGCAACCTGCCGAGGGGGGGAGGCAGATATATATCGCACTTAGAGAGGGTGCCTGAGAAAAAAAGAGGGTGAGAGAAAGGAGATGATTAAATTCATTTTTATATACTGTCTATTACAGAAGACATCAAACCAGAGAGAAGAAAGAAAGAAATGAGGAAGGAGGCAGCAAGAAAGAGAGAAAACAGATGGACACAGAAGAAGGAAAAAAAAAGAGAAATCGCTTGTAGACTGCATAAAAAATTCTTAATCGAATCAAGGAGCAATAAAAGTTAGCTTGGTCTGGAGAGAAAAAAATGAACGAGGAATACGGGAAACAGGGAGGGGAAGTAATGGAAGGAAGGGAAGAAAGCAAGACATAGAGAAGATGAAATGGGTGCTATTTAGGCTGGAGGCTGTGAAGGAACAATATGAGGAAAAAATAGAAAGTGGCTGTTAGAGTAAAGGGGAGGGGGGTTAATAGCAGACAGAGACAAAGATGGGGGCGGAAGTAGTTATTATGCTGCATAAATGATAACAACAATTAAGATTACTTTAAACACAGATGCACACACACACACACGTTTAAATATTCAAAGGCATTTTCAAGTTGAGTTCATAGCTGAGAGCAGCTCAACGATTGAGAAATATGAGGGTTAACGCAGCGTGCACGAATACACACAAACAACAGCACAGAAAAATAATGACTACCTGTGAGATAGCAGGGTTAATGTGTGACACACACACACACAAAACACAGCACATCATTTTCAATTTACTTCTGGTGCCAACTGGCCTCCCTCGCTTTTACCATTTTCTTCTCACTTGCTTCACGCTCCCCGTCTTTCCAAATTTCCATCTCTTCTCCCAATTTTCATGGATTCAGGCAACAAACACAATTGTATTGATTAACAGGGGGCCTGCTGACATAATATTCCCTATGAAGTCACTTGCCTGTACCCCCCCCCCCCCATCTCAGTGTCTTTCAGTCTATTTTCAACCAACTCTTCTCTTTTTGTCACAGTCTGTCAATTCTTTGACCCTGATCAGTCTTTTGGATGGAAGAGAAGGAAAACAACACGGGGAGGAGCGAGGTGGAGGCAAAAAGTGACTGATGGAGAAAAAACATGTGTGTGTGTGTGGGGGGGGGGGCAACTTGGTGGAATGAAAAGGACTGTAAATATAAGGCAGATGAGTTAAGATCGGATTGATTTGAGGGATAGCATCACGGGAAAAAAGGAGAAAGAAAGGGTGGAAAAGGGGGGGGCTGGGAGGGGTGCAGGTGGCATAAAATATGGCCGGAGAGCAGCAGGAAACGAAATATTGATTACTGGCATGTGTATACGTGTTTGGCCTAAACAAATATAGCACGAGCGCTCCTGTTTTGAGTGACAGGGCTGTGTGTGTGCAAGGAGGAGAGGAAAAAATGGGGCGAATTAGGGGAGGTGTGTAGATACGGGTGGGGAAAAACAGATGGAGGTGTGGAGAGATTAGGAGAGACAGACTTGTTAATGAGAAAGAGGAAAAGGAGGAATATAATAGTGATGGAGGGAGAGGGGGGGAAAAGAGAGAATAGCAGGTCTTTGTTTTATTTTTTCGTCTTTTTCAGTGCAAGGAAGATGTGACAGAAAGGAAAGAAAAGGACAGAGTGAGAAAATGAGCGAGCCAGAGATGAAGCTGCAGGAATACAGTACATCATATCATTCGGCTGAGATGTACTCTACAGAGCTGAGCTCGGAGCCATTAACTGTTGGGCCTGTCACTGTTTCACCAATGTGTGCTGTTCCACCAAAGTCAGCCCCGCTTGAAGTGTCAACAGTGTAGTACTCCACGGAGAGCCTACTTTTCCTCCAGTGTACCCTAAAAGCTCTTGGCAAGGCACCTCTCACTGAAACAAAGTGCAGCATAATTGCAATAAAATCTGCATCCAAATATATCTTAATATGCTGTTCATTACGTGTTCCAGTCTGTGAAATCCTGCAATCTGAATCTTAAAAGGCATGCGATGAGGAGGCCTTCACACACTGAGAAAATGAGAGTGGGAGTAAGAGAATTATGTTTTATTTCAGTTGCTACTGTAAATGAATTCTTTGTTAGAATGCAAATGTGCGCTTTTCAGTACATTTACTCTCTTCTAGCTTAAAAAACCCACTCTGCTGTGTAGAAGCCTTCTTATTCGGGGGTGTACAATGCAAATGAACTATTTGGAAAGCGTTAGCCTACATCTTAGAGCCAGTTTTACCTAGGATCACTTAAAGCTATAGTTCAGATATTTTGAAGTGGGGTTTGGCAAAAACAAAAGTTATTAATTAAAATCTTATCTGGTGTAGATGGTTCTCTTTGAATAACCTCGGTTTTTAAAAAAAAGTTCCAATTCTGACCGGATGGATGAGCTAATGGCTAGTCTGAGTGAGGTCAAATCAAAGTGGATTGATGCCACATTATAAAAGGCTCCAACCTCACAAAATTCTTTGCAGTTCATTTATTCACACTATTTTTTTACAGTTTTACATTAACATCGTAACATTACACTGTTATTTATATGCCAACAAAGTCCATGCTCAATAATCCAGGTATACAATCCAACAATTTTCAGTCAGGTCATCTGGACAGTTTCTTTTTTGTTGTGCTGAAACGTTTCACCTTCCATCCAGAAGGCTTCATCAGTCAAGGAAACACAACACAAAACTGATTCTTCCCCTAACAGTTTACTCCAAAGTGGAACAAACCAGTTATGTTGTGCTAAGATGGTCTCTTTGGCACGCCCCCTCCTCTGGTGCTGGCCCTCTTCCTCATCGAAAGTCATGTCAAACTGGTTCAAAACCAACAAAGTCCATGCTCAATAATCCAGGTATACAATCCAACAATGTGGACTTGGAGAAGGCGTTCGACCACGTCCCTCAGGGAACCCTGTGGGGAGTTCTCTGGGAGTATGAGGTACCGGGCCCTTTGATACGGGCTGTTAGGTCCCTGTATGACCGGTGTCAGAGCCTGGTCCGCATCGCCGGCAGTAAGTCGGGCTTGTTCCCGGTGAGAGTTGGACTCCGCCAAGGTTGCCCTTTGTCACCGATTCTGTTCATAACTTATATGGACAGAATTTCTAGGCGCAGCCAAGGTGTTGAGGGGATCCGTTTTGGTGGCCTTAGGATTGCGTCTCTGCTTTTTGCAGATGATGTGGTCTTATTGGCTTCATCTGATCGTGATCTACAGCTTACGCTGGAGCGGTTCGCAGCAGAGTGCGACGTGGCCGGGATGAAGATCAGTTCCTCCAAATCCAAGGCCATGGTCTTGAGCCGGAAAAGGGTAGAGTGCCCTCTCCGGGTCAGGGAGGAGGTTCTACCCCAAGTGGAGGAGTTCAAGTATCTTGGGGTCTTGTTCACGAATGAGGGAAAAATGGAGCGTGAGATCGATAGGCGGATAGGTGCAGCATCGTACATCGTAGAGCCAGTTTTACCTAGGATCACTTAAAGCTATAGTTCAGATATTTTGAAGTGGGGTTTGGCAAAAAACGCAGGCGCTGTACAGGTCTGTCGTGGTGAAGAGAGAGTTGAGTCAAAAGGCGAAGCTCTCAATTTACCGATCGATCTACGTTCCTACCCTCATCTATGGTCACAAGCTTTGGGTTGTGACCGAAAGAATGAGATCTCGGATACAAGCGGCCGAAATGAGTTTTCTCCGCAGGGTGTCTGGGCTCTCCCTTAGAGATAGGGTGAGAAGCTCTATCATCCGGGAGGGACTCAGATCAGAGCCGCTGCTTCTCCACGTCGAGAGGAGCCAGTTGAGGTGGCTCGGGCATCTGTTTAGGATGCCTCCCTGGTGAGGTGTTCTAGACACGTCCCACCGGGAGGAGGCCCAGAGGAAGACCCAGGACACGCTGGAGGGACTATGTTTCTCGGCTGGCCTGGGAACGCCTCGGGATTCCCCCCAGAAGAGCTGGCCCAAGTGGATGGGGAGAGGGAAGTCTGGGCCTCCCTACTTAGGCTGCTACCCCCGCGACCCGACCCCAGATAAGCGGAAGAAAATGGATGGACAATCCAACAATTTTCATTCAGGTCATCTGATATGGTTTTTGCATATGCAAAGAACATCAGCAGTAGGGATGAGCATTAGAAACAAGAACCTTCATCGTTGGTAATTGTATTTCCCCCACCCCTTTTTTTCAATCATATACTGTAGATCGTATCATATACTGTAGATCGTATCATATACTGTACTGTTTGTTTGTTCTTTGTTTTTAGCGAGTCAAATCAGTTCTTTTCATCCTGAGCAATTCATTGTACTGTTAACCTTGTGTTAACCTGCATTTGACAAATAAACACAACTTGAACTTGAACTTGTGCAGCACTCGGGGCTTAATTTGAGCTGGATCCTGCCAGAATAGGATTCGGGAACTCTCTTATTTTGACAGGGTGCGTGCCCACAGCTGTTGGCTTGGATCCAGTAACTCTCAGGCTTACTAATAATAAAGTTATGAACAAATATGACTGCTTTGAATAAATAAAACTTATATTGTATATGTAAACTGAAAATAATTACATAAACACTCATTTTAAACACAACAGCCACTTACGACTTCTTAATATCACATACGATCGGTCTCTTCTAGAAGCAATTCCGCCTCTACCCTTAAAAAAAATCTCCGCCCCTAAAAGAGTGGTGAGGGTGAGTGTCAAACAAGCTAACCAGGCAGTTGTACGCAGGCAGGAACCCACAGGCAGAAGTAATGAACAGATGGAGGAGATGCCTGGAGGTTTCACATGTGGAGTTGGACTGGGAATTCAGTGAAGAAGAGCCAGCTTGGAACGGTCAAGTAATGGGGAGGTGGGGTAGGATGCTTGTAAAAATAAAATAAAATAACGAACATGGTCACATTAATTTTTAGAAGTTGCCCGTCTTAACTGCACTTAAAAAAAATATCAGAAA